TTTTTTTTTTTTTTTTTTTTTTTTTTGGTTAAGGTCAAAAGGCAGTAAATGTACATGTACACATCCGAAATGCTGGCCAATGTGTGTTATTTTGAAAATGTTTGGTACAAATTTCCATGGCCAGAGCTGACCGAATGGGTACCCTTATAGGAATGGGCCCCATTTAAGTGAAAATTTCAAAGTATTCTTACGTTTTGTATTTTGACAGTCAAACTACTTTAATGATGTATATATAGAGTGTAAAACCCCATTCAAAAGGGTCATCTAAATGTGTACACATCCTCATATTAATAGATTCACCTCATGGAACCACAATTAAATATTAAATGAACAGATATGAAGTGCAAAACACAAATAATATAAAAAAATTACATTGACATTGTAACTGTTTTGATGAACGCGATGAGAGAGAGCATTGTGAAAACTTCTTAACAGCATACACAAGATCCTGTTCAAAGCTTCAGAATGGAATGGAAAAACTGCTGTGATTAAGAAACCACTCAGATCAACTCCAAACCAGTGAAAATTAAAATAAAAACCTGGTATGAACAAGAAACCATGCAGATCTCATTCAATAGTGTGAATACGACACAGCAGGCTTGGCATGGATAAGAAACTGAAACCTTGTGCTAAATTCAAGCGTCCCCTCAATAAGAAGCCTCTGATTATATAAGTTATGTAAATATGATAAGCATGCCGATATATGTAAATACCAATAGTAATTTATTATCAATACATATCTTATAACATTTAGTTATTGTTAACTTCCAAGGGACTTCCAAGAGCAAACAAGATAATGGTGCCCCTCTCTGGCATTTAGTGCCCTACCCAGACTGAATAACTTGCATGTAGGCAACAGCGCAACTGCACCATTTTTGTGTGGAAATACAAAGTTAACATCCTTCTCAGTTTCCACTAATCAAAGTATATTTTGGGTGCAAGTATCAGTGGTATTATTATTACAGGTTATAATTTGCAACAGGTTATTTGACAAATTATTTGCAACAGGTTCATCATCGGTGACTCACTGATGTTCAGATTCGTTGCGGTCAAAACACGGAGGGCCATTTAACTAGCAAAAATAATTGCCACAACCTCAATTAACACTTCAAAGTGAAGTGAAAGTGACATTACGACCAAGTATGGAGTGACCCATACAAGGAATTCGTGCTCTGCATTTAACCCATCCAAGTGCATGCACACAGCAGTGAATAAACACACTGTGAACACACACCGGAAGCTGTGGTAACTGGTGACTTGCTTAAGTTCACCTCAGTAATGGCCGTCAGAGGAGGGAGAGAGTTTCAACACTCATCCCACCTTCGGCTCCTAGTGGAGCTGGGGAATCAAACCGGCGACCTTTTGATCTGCAGTCAATCACCTCATCCACTAGGCCACGACTGGCACATGTGCTGTTGTGTCTGTATCTTTAACTAAGAATATTTGTATGGATAATGTCTAGAATGTTTGTACACTTTTGTTATTCTGCCTCTCACTGTTGAAAAAACCATGTAGAGATAATTTCTGTGTCTGTGAGCAGGGGGTCAAATATGTATACATTTTTATTTAGACTGTAAAGATCTTGACTGAGCATGAGAACATAATTTATGACTAAAGTGAAAGAGAGTGTTCCGTGTTCCTCAAAGATTCCAGCTTTCCATAGTTTAACCCCAAATGCTTCCATGAGTACCTCTCAGCGACTTGCAGCAGTGTCAGATTTAAAAGGAGAGCTATTCACACATAACTTGAAAGCTTTGTCTTCATCTAAATCAGATGTAAGAATTGCAGTTGTGATAAGTGACTAAAATGCCACAATCGCTGAGGTTTGTTTAGAAAGAATTAAACTAAGAAACAACATTGTGTTTCTTGATTAGAGGCCAATCTTCACATACACAACATCTTGTGCATTTGTGCATTTGTAATGTGCCGACAATTTTCATTTTAGTATGCCATCGTTGATTAATATCAGTCCATGAGCACTCCTCAAAACATGAGTGTCTGTATGAGCAGCATCACTCTCTCTAGAGTATCCTTTCACTTTCTGGAGCTCTTCATTCATGTTAAATCTCATACACAAATGTGGATTTTATTTGGATGAGTTCCTAAACATTGAACCACAAAATATTCTGTGACGTGATAATGAATTTGACGAAACTCATTCAGTTGATTGATTAGCTTAAATCATTTGCTTCAACAGCAATGTTCTTAAAGCAGATCAAAAGATTCAATACTTTCTTTATTTCTAGCATGGGACGTTACAAGAGCACATTCATACAAACTAGCACTGCAGGAAGATAACAATCTAAGCCAGTTTTCTGTTTATTTGCCATCTTGATTAAAATAAAATCCTTTATCATATCGTTTTTGGACTATTTCTCCCAGAACACTGAAAATAAATATTTAATACGTCTAAAATCCACACTCAAACATTTTAGAAGTTTGTATTCAAATGAAGATTGGAAAAGAGCTGGCACAGGTTGTGTAGTGGTAGATTCCCACAATCAGTGACCTGGGTTTGATTCCAGTCTGAGGTCAAACCTCTCCCTTCCTCTCAACTGCTCAAATTCTTTCCAAGGGGAACTTAAGTGGAATTTACATTATTCAACTAACCTAACCATGTATGGGAAACCGGAGTACCAGGAGGAAACCCACACACGCTCCTTGCAGGAAGGTCATAGACGAGCCTCGAACTGGCAACCTTCTAACCCGAAAGTGCTACCCACTTTGCTGCCTTAAAAAGATTTATGATTGCAATGTTTGCAGATTTAACATAAATTGAATGAATTCTAAAGCTGGTCTTTTAAACCTATCAAAACAAGGAAAAGCAGACCAATATTTCTATGGTATATTTCTATTTCTATTCAAACCTTTTTTTTAAATATGGAAAGGAAATCAATTAAGGTTTTCAAACAACAGGTTTACAAGAGAGCTAGGTACGATTGGAGAGCTGTCCATGGTTCTGACAAAACCAGCTGAATAACATCAACAGAGCCAGGGCTGAACCAGACATTATACAAACCAGCCCTTAGCAAAATATATGCATTTAAAAGCAGGAATATAAATCTTCCAGGAGAGAGCAAACACAGCTGATCCTGCCCAGCAGCCCTTGTATATTTGAACAGGTCTGTGAACTAAAGCAACTGCGTTTACGTTCATCTAGAGCTGAAAATAGGGTCTGCCAACAAATTTCTGTCTTTCTGGCTTGAATCTGCTTTATAGTTACCAATGTCTGGCCCCATTTTCTGGTTAAGTGCATGATCAATGAGAAAGAAGCACCTTTCGATTGGCTGTTAATGTTTGCTAGAACCAATTAGAGATGAGACAGCTTTCTGGCATCCGGATATATCTAAGCTGGCCCATGGGGCCAAAACTTCTTTATTTAATCTCCCCTACAGATTTACATTTTACATCAGTCATCATTGTTGGGATGTTTTCATATTATAAAAGCCTAACAAGCCAAAGCAGATTAAAACAAGTGGGGCACGGAAGACTGATCACGATTGGCTTTCATGCTGATTGGTTTGGTTGGGGACATGGAGAGGTCAGAGGAAAATATATTCTTTTTCAAATCGAGCCAAGCTGGGTTTCTTGCTTTAGCATCTTTCCCCAAATATGTTATGTAGGGGTTGGGAATGTATAACTTCTGAATGGTATTTATTAAAAAGAAAAATAACACCAACGATTTTCTCAGGGAATTGGATTTATGGCTAAAAAGGTTCAAGTACTAACTGACAAGCAAGAACACTGTGTAGCATTAAAACCTTCAAGCTGCTGGTCAAAGCAGATCAGATGATGTATGCTTTAGAGTCTAACTTACACCACACAGTGTACTGTAAGAAAGTCCTATGATGACTCAAATTCACTAAACAAGGCACAACTTTTTCCAGAAACATTTTTCTACTTCTTTGTGCAGTTTTACAACAGCTCAACCGAATATAAGACCAGAACAAATTCAAATTACTTTAGTTTCCTATCCATTTCCTGTAAGTTCTGGGAATTCTAGAGGGAAACTAGTGAAATACATACAGTACATATATGATGTTAATTGATTGTTTCATGATCTCGATTTTTTTTAAAGTTAACTTTTTTTAACTTTCTTTTTTAAGTTAACAGCAATCTACCGGAGATATCCTTTTATCCCTTTATTTTATTCATTAAGGAGCCCATAAAGTAAATTATTTGGTTTTTGAAATCTTATTTTCTTATTTTGTTAATGACTCAGTAATGAATTCTTTTATGACTCATTCTTCGAAACTCGTACCTTACAACCTGCATTGATTGGTTGTTCAAACTGTCTGCTCTCATTGGATACTACGTGTTGCATGCATCTCTGGATTCCATCATCCGAAAAAACATATTACACTACTGTTATTACTCATTTATTCTGTAAAAATTGCAATACAAGTCAATAATACCATACTGCCTTATCAGTATGAACTACATTTTTACTCGAATGTTTGTAGTTGCACATGTGAAAACTGCATCAAAATGCCAAGCGAGGCTGAGAGTATTTGCTTGGCGCTGAGAGTAGGAGGATATTTGTTTTAAAACATGAATGGATGGTGCGTTGGCGGTAGGTATCGAGTGACGTCTCACTTTTGAGCTAAAGATTCGGTTGGAAGAAAGAACTTGTTTCAGCATCTCAGAGTTGACTCTTTAATATTAAGACTAAGATAATAACACTATAACTTTATAACTGTTTGTGTATGTCATCAAAACTAAAATACTATACGTTTTTATAAATATTTTTTTTTGTTTATCTGCAGATCAGCCTCAAGGCTCAGGTCATCCCAATTCAATAGCATTTTTCCTAAGTTTTCCATAGTTTAGTTATGCTTGTTCAACCATTTATTTATTCAAGTAGAGAGCTAAGTCAAAAGGACAGGCTCGGTATAATGACTGCCTGGCAGCCAATAAGAACAAGGGTTTTAACAGAGAGTATCCAATTCCAGGGGATTTCTTTATATGTGGTGAAAACCACATAACAAAGAACTCAGCTTCTGTTGAAAATACCTTGAACTAATAATATAAAAAAAATTACTTTTTCATTTTCTTTGAAGAGTTTCTTTAGGGTGCTAGTGCATCCCCTAAGATAATGGTAATGGAAAATAATAGCAAAGAAAAAGATCTTATTAGCATGATTTAGTTGGTGTTGCTGCCATTCCTCGGTCAAACTGGATTTTTTCCTTTCAATCCACTCACCTCTCAATTCGCTCATCATCCCCTGCACCTGTCTACCCTTATCACCTCCATCAATAATTAATGTATATTATCAACATTTCTCTCATCCAGGAAACCATAATGAAAACCCACTAGCAAGTCTCCGCAGCCAATCAGTAACCAATAACTGCTAGCCACTACCACTACCAGACAGCTACGCCTTAGCCAATTACCAGATCTACTGTTAAAGACTGCTGAAGAGATCTTATTTATATTTTTTGAGTTTGCATTTGCTAGTCTCTTTTACCTCTAAGCTCACTTTAAAGAGATAAGTAATTATTTTTATTAGTACCAATAAGTAACTAGATAAGTTCAGCATGTTGGTAAATTGATGATAAAGTGATTTTTTTTTTTTGCATTTAATGCAAATGCGTATTGCAGATCAGCCTGCAGTAATGTCAAAAGAAAAATAATACAAAAATAAATCAGCAATTAATTGAAATCACTTGACAATCATCCAACTAAACTTCATCTGTGTATTCTACACAAGTGCTACAACACGGCAAGACTGCATAAGAATTCCAGACTGGTGATTCACTTTTAATTATCTGACTGGATGAATAATTTACAAATGAGAATCCCAGCTTTTGTTTTGGTTTATTTCCGCAGCTTGAATGTTGTACCAGATAAAGAGTATGGCATGAATATTCATCCACAGAAAGCTAATAAGTTCTAACATAAGGAAAAGTTAATTGAACAATTAATCAAAGCTTAGCATGTCCATAACGTTTATTGCAACAGGATGATTCATTGAGGCTGCCAGCTCGTTTCGTTACGAATTATCTTATTCTGATTTATTCCAGAAACATAATAACTGTTGAATTGCCGACCAAACAATTCGGCTAATTATTTTTAAAAAGCCAAACAAATACAACTGTTTTGCTTTGTTTAAATTCAACATAATCAATTCAAAAGAGATGTGCAAGCATTTCTGTAGTTTTATGCTTTCTAAGCAGAAACAATACATAACAACAAAAAATGGCAACTGGCAAAAATGCTCTAAGAAATGAAGATATACATATCTGCTGTCTGAAACCTGCAGAAGCAGACAAAAATCTCCTGCTGCCACTAGTATTCATGAAACATGATGCCATATCTATCTACAAGCATCGCGATAGGCTGAATGGATCCAGACAGAAGGACTGACACTCCCAGTCACAATCAGGCTTGAGACAGTTCATTTT